AAGGCAGCCAGGAATGTGGGTGCGTAGGAGCCGAGCACAGAGACTGGATGTCACCTCCCCAGCTGCCACTTCACTTTCTTCCAGGCGACCGACGCCCCCCCATGAGCAGTACCTCTGAGAAGTAGTGGTGAGAAACTGTGAGTTTGGCTCCAGGTGACCTGTGTTGGGTTTTTATCCACCGGGCTACTTTGATCTGAAGTTTCCTGTATGTGCTGCTTCTGCTTGCTTTTGTTGCTTCTATTTTTCCCACTTTAGCAGCAAGAAAATGAGAGGCCTCCTGGCTATTTGTAGCAAAAAATAAACCTTACATTTCTTGTTGTAAAAATAATTTCTTGTACTTGGATTTAAATCATTGGTTAGTGTTGTTTTCAGAAAGACAAGATTATATTTAGATACCATTAAAAATGACATTTAAGAAATTCAGGGTAGCAGGTGATTATTAGAAAAGTTTATTTTCAAACAAAAAAATGCACTTGAAAATTCAGTGTTGGGAAGGTTTTAAAAATATTATTTTATTCCTTCAGCCAATAGCTTTTCTTCCCTTTACCTATCCTTATTCTCAAATCTCAGACTTGTTTTTTTCCCAAATTTGTTTTTTTTTCTTTTTAAAATTAATTGTATTGGTACATTTTAGGTATACAATATAATGACATTCATCATTGGATATTTGCACCTTTATGTAAACTCTCTTGGTTCTTATTTTTTCTCCATTGCCCTGCCCTCCCTTCAACCCCTCCATCCCTCCCCATTTACAAAGATTTGTTTCCATTTCTTCATTTTCTTCCCCAAATTTGATGTCAGTGTATAAGTTGGTCTTTGTACTACTCAAGTAATTCATGTGGTTTTTGGTCACTCATGCAAGACATGTTGCTGGGCCTGGTGGCAGACACCCTGTGATCCCAGCCCTTGGGAGGAGCCTGAGGCAGGCAGATTGCTGGGAGCTTAACCTGGACTACATAGTGAGACCTTATCTTTTTTTAAATTTTTGGTGCCGGGGATCAAACTCAGGTCCTTGCGCTTGCATAGCAGGGAGTGAAACCACTGAGCTAAATCCCTGGCCCCTAGTGAGACCTTATCTTAAAAAAAAAAAAAAAAAAAAAAAGCAATTTAAGTTAGTGGTTTATGTATGGAAATACAGAGTTGAATGAGACCTAATTGCTGCCCTTCAAAGGGGTCTGGCTTTGAGAAGCACCTCAAGCCAACAAACAAGTTAAGACATGTGCAGGATGACATTGGCAGTGCTAGCAGGTGTGTGTCCTGGGTGACAGGTAATGGCGAGGGCATTTGTCCTGGTCAGGAAGGTGGGGCTTTTCTGCACCGAGACTTCAAGTGAAGATGTGCTCACCTGGAGGGTTTTCTCTGGGGGTGCGGGGGGAGGAAATGGGCAAGGTGTGCACAGCCTGGTGGATGCTGTCCCATCTCCCTGTCACGTGGTGTCAGCCCGAGTAGCAGGTGTGAGACCTGCCCACGCAGCGGCAGTCCCCAGCTCCCGAAGCCTCTCTGAGGCCCCTCCTGCCTGGACCCTGCTCTCTATTGTGGTTGGCAGTGCTCATTCCTCTCCCAGTCCCCTCCTGTCTCTGTCACTGCTCGGGGCTCCCTGAGTGTGTTTAACCAATGGGTAGATGCTCGTTGGTGTTGGTTTCTGTGGTGTGAAATGTGAGTAATTATATTCACTTGCCTCGTGATACTTCTCAATATTTATAGCTGCAAACTACTTTGCAGTCATTTTTATTAATAGTTACCAGATGTGTCGTAAGGATTAATGAACTTATGATCTGAAATGTTTTGAGCTCCTGAAATAGAGGCGATGCCTGCAAAGGGGATGTGAAAGAGCATTAAAATGCACACAATACGCATTTGGAAACGTGAGCTGTTATGTGTGAAGTAGCACAGTTAAGGTCCCGGCATTCCCTGCGGGTATATCTGGGAGCCCTAAAAGATGGCTGCATTCATCACGGGCATCGCGCCTGGGCTTGTGCACACACGTGCACACACTCCCATTTGTGCCAGTAACCCTGGCGCCCCTTCGCGTCGTCTTTACTCTGCCTAGCCTCCACAGCCACCTGTCTCTTTCATATCTCTGAACTTGCATTTCTATTTGTTTCCTCTTACTGTCCAAATTCAAACTCTTACAAGTTCTCTTCAGAATCCCTGAAGTTCTTAATTGATCTCACTGCGTTTAGTATCTCTCTCTCCTAAGGGTTCGCTGTTGAGAGCACAGATCTTACCAGATCCTCATTCTGCAGCCCATACCTGCTCTGTTGCCTATGAAATCTCTCCAGGAGCTCACCAGGCAGGCCAGGGAGTCTCTCCCTAAAACCTGCGGTGTGGGGGGGGTGCTTTTTGAGGGTAGAGCTCCATGTAGACGGAACCCGACACGGGACACTTCTGTCTCCTGCCTGTCGTGTGGCTTAGCCGCGTCAATATGCTGTCACCTGCTGCAGGTACCTATTTGTGATCCTCCTCTGAACTCTCTCTGCTTTCAAAATGTCCATTCCAAAGCCAGTTGTGGTGGTGCATGCCTGTAATCCCAGTGCTCTGGAGGCTGAGGCAGGAGGATCTCGAGTTTGAGGCCAGCCTGGGTTACACAGTGAGTTCAAGACTAGCCCAAACTATATAGTGAGACCCTGTCTCAAAAAATCAAAACCAAAGAAAAAGAAACATCCATTGCAGTGTCCCTGCCCTTCCTCTGCTTTAGTCACTTGCTTACGTGTCCTTCCCCGTGGCTAGACAGCTCCTTGAGAGCAGAGTGCATGCCTGGCTGGTCTCTGTGTCGAACAGGGCTCCAGGCCTGGGCCAAGTGAGGCCCCGAGAAGTCTGTGCCAAGCAGGATTTGTACACTGGGAGTTGGAACCAGGCTGCAGTCAATCTGGCCCTGAAATTCATTTTGGGAAATACTTACTTTTCTCTCATTGCTGAGACAAAATATACGACCCCCAGAGGTGAAGGAGGAAATGTTTATTTGGCTCACAGTTCATGGAGGTTTCAGTCCAAGGCTTGCTCCAAGGCAGGGTGGCAGAGGGGCAGCAATTCATGCAGGAAGGCAGCAAAAGCAACAAGGGACCTTAACAGTGTCTTTCTGTCCCTTTTATTCAGACTACTTAGGGCGGGTAGCACTCAGTCTTAATCCTAGTGCCCTCGGGCCTTGCCCCACAGTAAATCAGTCACACACTCAGCCACTTCCAGAGTAGCCTGTGACCACGTGAGGCTCTGGGGGCTCTAGACACAGCCCTAACACATGTGCCGGACCTTGCAGTCACACAGAGTCATAAGGAAAAGGGAAGGATGATGTCCTTCTAGAGCAGATCCCATCCTGAGTGGCCACTCTCCTGTCCCTGGTGGGGTTTCCCCGTGTCATGCACTTCGCGAGTAGGGATGCTTATCCCCTAGTCATGTCCAGGTTAAGTCAGATGTAACTGACGTCTGAGCGTGAGGAACTCTCTCCTATCTTTATGAAGACATGTCCTCCGAGTAGCTTCCCGCGTGGAGGAAGAACAGAGACAGCAGCCTCTGCTGGGGCCCAGTGAGGTGGGTGTGCGATTTCGCATCCTTTCCGGAGCCAGAGTGGAGTCCGGCCACACCCTCTTCTTCTAGCCCAGCTGCGGAGGCGGCTGTGGATGGGCTCCTGCTGCAGGGCACCTCCCTCCTCCTCTCCCTGGCTGCCACAGTGCTTTCTGGCTGTGACCACTCCGCAGCACCCCATGTTGGGTGAAGTGGAGTTCCCTTAGCTCATCCCCAGGGCTTTCCCCCTCTAAGCTGGCACTTCTGTGAGCTTGCGTCCCTCTCCCTGGGCCGGGACTTCTGTCCTGTCAGCTCTCCCCAGCACGTGTCTTCCAAGCAGCCCCAGGCCTATGTGGTCATGTGTCCCCTGTGCTGCAGCAGGGCCACCGTCCCTGCAGCTCTGGCTGGCACCTGTGAGTGGGCTGTCTTGTCCCCTGCACTCTTCTCCTGCAGGCAGTCCGGGTCCTGGGCAGGAGGACAAGAACGAAGACCACCGCCTGGGCTGAGCGCTGTCTGGACAGTGGCCCCCGTGTGGGAGCCTCAGGGCCCAGTGTACCCAGGAAGCTGCAGCAGGGAACCTTCGGGATGTGACATCTCTGGTGGGGCAGCGGCCACCCTGCCTCTCCTATGGGCCCAAAGGAAAGAGGAGCCCTTCCTGTGCCCACCGTGCCAGGACAGATCCCTTGTTCTTCTGGGCATGCAGAGCTGGACAAGGCTGGCTGGGAGGGACCGGCACAGAAGTGGCCTCCACTGTCTTCCCGAGACCCTCGCACCTGTGTACTAGCTTCTGTGTGGCCTGGCCTGGCCTGGCCGGACCCATTGGCTGGAAAGTTTCTGGTCCCTTCCCCTTCTGATGTCCTTCCCTTATCTTGCCTCTCATCATTTTTGTCTTTTTCTTTTAATCTTCCTTGAATCATGTCCATAACTCCGTAAGTCATGAAGTCCTTTCTTATGACGATGTTTACACCCATAACTTGGGCTGTCCCACCTCGAGGCTGCTCTGTTGCTGATTAGTCTCCTTGGGCTTTGCTTCTCCAGCCAGCTTGCATTCCTCTGCCAGCCCAGCTCACTTTCAGCTCTCTTCTGCCATCTCTGCTTAGGAATCTGGTGAACCCTCTCCGCTACCAGGTTGGGCTAGTTTCAGGCCCAAGGCCGCCTCTGTGCCTGGTAGTTGGGCTGGACAGCCTTTGTGTGTTCTGTTTCCTGTGGTAACACACGGCCACCACCAGCCTGGCGTCTTTCTGGATCTTTCTGCCTGCACCACGCAAGCCCTCGATGGGCCATGCATTGCGGCTAGAGAGAGGGAACTGAGTGTGCACACCCGCGTGTGCCAGTGGCCTGAGTGTGCATTTCCTCTCCCTGGCCGGGTTCCTTGTCCCCTTGTGGCCTAGGTGGCAGGGCTGCTGGAGTCCCTGAGGGTCCCTCCCACGCCTCTGTCTGGTGGACTCCTGCCTGCTGTCCTGGTCTCCGATCCCTGACCAGCACACTTGTCTCCTCAGCCCGTGCCCCGCATCCTGGTACAGGCTCCTTTCCCGGACACCCAGGTGGCCAGGACGGAGGAGGTGAGTCCCCAGGGCTGGGGCTGCCCCCTCACAGTGGTGGCCCCGGTGCCGAATTGCTGTCTACACCTGTGCTTTTTTTCCTTCACACTCCCGTTTGATGATTAACTACAATATAGGTCACTGTCTTCTCCCTCCACATTTTCCTTGTTACACTTTTCTATTTTCAACCTGTTAATCATATGATTACTAAACTTTTGGGTGCTTGACTGCTAATGTAGTCTGTGCTTTAATGGCCCACTGCTAGGCAGAGGGGATTTCTATAAACAGAACGGTCTCCTTCTCCTAAGTGTTTGCTTAATTCTCAGTTTTACATTTCATTCTGATTCATGATATCAGCGTGAAAAGACTAATGCTAAGCTGGGAGAAAATAGTCTCTTATGATCTCCCACAGATCAACAGCACTTCTGATCTTCTGAATAGCAAATCTATTTTCTCCCACTGTGCCTCATTCTCTTAGGAAATGCTGGGTCTTCCTAGGAAGTTTTATTTATTAGAACAATAGCCATATCTCCCCAGTAGTTTGGGGACATTCACACCTCCCTTCTACTTGTTTCCGAAAGGCCCTTCTGCCCAGTGCTGCTTGGAGCTCGTGAGCTTCCTGTGGCCCCCATGTGGGCCCCTCCCCGGGGTGCAGGCTGGGCGCCCAGCCACGGGTGGTGCTGGCAGCAACATCTGTGCACCCAGCTTCTGGGACGATGGCCCAGCTGCCATCTGGGTCTGGTGGCCTCCCCCACGGTGGCTTTCCCAGAGGCCCCTGGAAATGTTTCTCAGATGTCGAAGACAGCAGTTGGGTTCCGCTGTCTCCTCTGGGGGCCAGCCTAGGGAACAATGCAGGAGTGCTGGCTTCTACCGTCTTGGCGTGGCACAGGCACAGATGGCCCCATCCCTGGCTTTCTCCTTCCTGGGGCCTTGGGTGGCTCCTTCAGCTTCCGGGGCCTGATGTAAAGGAGACTTTTGTCCGCCCGAGCTGGCCACTCCTGCGAGCCGATGGGGTGGCCCTGCAGAGCATGGCCAGCGGTGGGGAGGAGCCTGCCTCGCTTGTGAGTGTGTGTGTGTGTGTGTTCTTCCCCCATGAGCAGTGGCATCACGAATACATAAAACACGTGCAGGGTGCAAAGGAAATGATTGAAGGATGGCCTAATCTTTTAGAGTATTTATGCTGGTGACAGTTATTGATCTATGGATCGAGTAAATTTTTCAGGCCAATGATCCATCACAAAAATGGGCTGTTAATCTCCAGAGGTGCCATTAACTTCATTCCCTGAAAGTGCACCTCATGGGAAGGGAGGCTGTGGAACCAGGAATGTAAACGACAGTTCCTGGGAAAACGCCTCATTTATCAAACTGCTGAGTTAGGCCAAGGAACTGTAAGAGACTCATAGATCTCAGCTGCTTCCTAGTTCGAATAAATCCTGTATTTCAAATGGAAAGTGACCATTCCTGTAATATAATTTTTCTGTAAATATTGGAAAACATATTTCTTCTTCTGAACATTGCCCGCCCGTCTCGTTCCCGGTCCCGCCCTCTCTTCCCCTGCTGAAGGTAGGGAATGCTGCCCTGCCGACTTCCTCCTCTGGTTAGGCTGTGAATGAACAGCAGCTTCGTGCCCCTCTAGCACAGTGGGGTTTGAACAAACGGTGACTGTCACGACCCCGAGACGCGGCTTTGTGTGTGTCCTCTGCCTGGTGACTCAGAGTGGCTGAGGGGGAGGACAGCCCAGCCACCGCTGGCTCTGCCCTGTCAATGGCCCCAGCAGGGCACCAGCCTTTCGGAGCAGCCAGAAGAACGGCCGCTTAACAAAAGGCCACGGCAGCAGCCGTCCTGTCCCCGACCCGAGCTAGGAGCGCCCAGTTGGGTCAGCACCTCTTGGTGCCTGGGCTGGTGAAGCACTTTGAGATCCTCTGATGAGATCAGTCTTTCGAGTTTGACAGAGAAAAGTGCTCTTCCGGCCTTTTCAGCATCTCCCTGTGTCCTCCTGAGTTCGCGTGGGCAGGGGATGGGTTTCCACGGGGACAGTTAGCACCCACTGCCTGGCCCGGCATGAGGATCTTTGCCTCCTGCTGCCCGCCCCCAACCCTCGTGGCAGGGATGAGCACCTCTGTATGAAGGGGGAGAAGGGGAACAGGGCCCAGCCCGGCCGCCACCTGGATCAGGCTCCGGGCTGAGGTTGCCTGCAGTGCCAGGCTCTGCTCCTCCAGGGGGCGGCGTCTCCGTGTGCCCCTGGCGCCTGCCCAGCGGGGACACCGCCTCGCCCTGCTCAGAGGTGCTTCCCCTTCCTCTGCAGGCTCAGCGAGGGAGCCCGGGGCCTGGTGGGACCTTGGAGGCCATGGTGTCGATGGCGACCCCGGCCGTGCCGGTGTCGGACAAGCCAGCCACCGCGCCCACCGCTGCGATCACCGCCGCCGCCCCCGAAGGGCAGGATGGGCCCCCCAGCCCCCTGAGCGAGGCCTCCAGCGGCTACTTCTCGCACAGCGTCTCCACCGCCACCCTGTCCGACGCGCTTGCCCTCAGCCTGGACGCCGGGGGCCCAAGTGGGCAGACGCCCAGCTCCCCGCCCGCCCCGGGCCAGGCCCCAGCGGCCCAGCCGGCCTCTCCCTCCTGCATGCAGAGCTGCCTGCCGGTCGGGGAAGAGCCCCTGGCCCAGCCTCCTCCACCTGCCTCCCACGCGGAGCTTGAGGTCCCCAGGCCCCCGCTGCTGCCCGACTCCCAGGCGCCCGCGTCCCCGTTCAGGATCCGGAAGGTGCGCACCTCGGAGCTGAAGTCCTTCACGCGCATGCTCGGTGGCGGCAGCGGATGCTCCGCTCCCAGGGACCTGCCAGGTGCAGGCGGACCGGGCGACTCCGGAGAGCAGGCCGCGGGAAGGCCAGAAGTGGAGTCCGACTCCGAGGAAGCCAGCGAGGTCCCCGAGTGGCTCACAGAGGGGGAGTACGTTGCTGTGGGCACCAACAAAACAGGCATCGTGCGGTACATCGGGCCAACCGACTTCCAGGAGGGCACGTGGGTTGGCGTGGAGCTTGACCTGCCTTCCGGTGAGTGCCCGAGGGGGACACTGTGTGCCAGGGATGGATGGCAGGATGGGCAGGACGGGCCGGGCTTCCTGGCTGTCCTCAATCAGGAAATCTCCACTGGGTGAGAGTTTGCTTAACTCTAGAAAGTTCGTAGAAAACCAAGATGGTAACTAAAAGCTATTGGAAATTTGGTGGTTCTTTTGTTAGTTTTTTTCGGCACTGAGGAATGAACCAGGGCCTTTGCACTGAGCTACACCGTCAGGCCTCACGAAGTTGCCCAGGTGGGACCCAAACTTGTGATCCTCCTTCAGCCTCCCGAATAGCTAGGAAGACAAGCCCATCTAAATCATAGAAATCTCTGCATTTGAAGTAGCACAGTAGCTTAGTCTTAGGTTAAAGGGTCAGGCTCTTGTGATGCTGGATTCTTCCACTCTCCATTCTTGAGACATTTGGGTGCCTTGGCCCCAGGTTGGTAGCTTTGGTCGAGGTGACATGGGGTCCTTTGCAGGGTCTGGTCTCCCAAGAGAGTAGCAAGTCTTAGACATGGCAGGGCTGGGGCAGGACCTCAGGCAGCGTCCTATGCCTTGGGGCTTTTGGGTACTGTTATAAACAGCTTTACTGAGAAGTCACTTCTACACCGTGATACCCACCGTTTAGAGCATCCAGGTGCAGGGTTTTAGGTGCCTACAGTCTTGCCATCACCAGAGTCTGACTTAGAACTCTGTAGCCCGGAGAATCCCGGGCCCCTGGCTGCCGTGCCTTCCCCAGCCCTGGCTGGCCTCAGATTGCCAGGATCTCTGCCTGCGATGCAGGTGTTGCCTAGACCCGGATGTGCAGCATCGTAGAGTGCTGGGCCTCCGCAATCCTCGGGCGCCCTCCCGCCTGTGGCCTGTGCTGCCCTTGTCTGACTTTGGATCCACTCTGCTCTGGCTGTGCTGGGCCCCAGCACTGTGACCATCAGCGTGGATGCCGTGGGCTTGGAGCCTCACTGCTTGCACACGGCCGGGCTGTTCTCGTAAGTGGCTGTGTCCAGCGGGGCTAGGCAGTTGGCTTGGGCTGCGGGGCTCTGTGAGGTCTGCTGGGGCCTGGCTGGTGGCCTGGAGATCAGAGAGCGTGTGGTCAGAGCAGGGGAGGGACACTTTATGGCATCTGGGTCCAGAGCCAGGAGCAGGAGGTCAGGCAGCCCTGACCTGTGCGGCCCTGGGCCTGCAGGAAGCCACTGTGCCCCATCCTCGGCGACTGGCGTGTCTCTGGGCCGCGTGTTCCAGCAAGTCACTTGCTGCCTTTAAAACCATAATTTGGCACGGAACGGCTTGAATCGGAAGTGATTCTAGAAGATTAATGTCACACAGGCTGGGAATTTGTTTGAAATCCGCTTCTCCTGAAGTGTAAAGGGGAAGTGAGAAGGACGTGTATGTCTGCAGCTGAACTCGGGATTTAACGAGAGATTAGCAGATCATTTAATTCATGCAGTGCGTAGTAAGTAATGCACAGTGTGCTCCGGTTGCTGGTCTAGATTCTGAAGATACCACCAAGCCCCTGATGTAACTGGACTTTGATTTTTGAGAGGAGAAAATCACCAAACAACTAAAGCTTTGAGAGCAACAGATACAATGGAGGATGAAGGGTGGGATAAGGAGACAGGGAGGGAAGTGAGGCCAGGCCCGCAGAGACGCCCCGTGACCCGGGGGCATCCAGCCTCCAAGGGTCAATGTGACTGGAAGGCGTCAGAGGGGTTAGAAGGTCGCACCTGGGAGAACGGGTTGGCTGAGAGTGAAGGTGGGGAGGGTACCCAGGAGGTGCTGCACATGTCCGGGGCTGGGGGGGGGTGCACAGCTGTAAATCCCAGCACCCAGGAGGGTGAGGCAGGAGGATCACCAGGTGTTCAGGGCCAGCCTGGGCTATATAATGAGAAGACCCTGCTTCTAAAAAAAAGGGAAATCAACAAAACAGAACAAAAAAATAAAGCCAAGGTGGAAGGAGATCAAAGCTCAGTGTGGTGTTAGCTGTGGAGGTGGTAAGCATTAGTCAGAGCCAGGGACGACAGGAGGCTGTAGCTGGTTGACAGGGTTGGACAGGCCCTCGAGGGAGGAAGCCAAGGACCAGGCCTGGGTATGTGGCACAAGCACAGGCTGGACGTGCACTGTGGGCTGAGAGGGAGGCCAGGAGTGTATGAGTGGGGAGGGACCAGAATGAGTCTGATGTGCAGGGGAGCCCTGTTAGGGCTGGGACCCAGCTGAGTGGCCTCAGGCCCCTGACCTATCCTATCACTGGCACAAAATACCCAACTCCACAGCTTAAGGGAGGACAGGTGTATTTGGCTCATGGTGTCGGTGGGTCCAGTCTGAGGTCAGCTGGCTCCAAGCCTGGCAGAAGACAAGGTGCTGCACACCCTGGCAGCCAGGAAGCAGGATGAGAAGGGAGGAGCTGGGAACAAGCCTAGCCCCTCCTGGTCACACCCCGGTGGCCACCTCCAGCCAGGCCCACTCTTGTCAGCCCTCTGGGCTGTGAGCTCATCCACGGATGAATCCACCCATGGGTCAGCGCCCAGCGTTGTCACCTTCCATGAGCCCCACTCTGAGCACGTGAGACTTGGGGACATATTAGATCTGAGCCACAGCATCACCTGAGGCCAGGAGAGCTGAGCCATGGCCCTCAGCAGCTGGATCGGGACAGGTAAGGCAGGGAGAGAGGTAGGAAGTAGGAGTGCGGCCCGCCCCGAGCAGCGGTGGCAGATCCAGGAGGGGCGAGGTCCCCTGCAGATGCTGCTGTGAGGCGGGGTATGGGGCTACTGGTGGTGGAGCAGCCGAGTGCACCTCAGAGGACTGCTGAGGCAGGCAGGTCAGGGTGAGGCGTAGAGGTGCAAGAGCTGATGGTTTGGCTGTGCAGTCTGGGCTCCGTCACCAGTCGCCCCTGGTGCAGCTGCCCTTCCCCTGCATGTGCCCCTTCAGGGCTTTCCACGCCTTAGCACTCTAGCGCAGCCCTGTGGTCTGCCCTGCTGCTCTGTGGCAGTTTACCAGTTCGAGCTTGAGAGGCTCAGGGGAAAGTCATTCTGCCAGTGCCACCTATTGTGATGGGGAAAGCATCGGTGCCCACTGGAAGGGCAGGAGTCAGCACTGTCTCTGTATCCCTCCACAGGGCCGCAGGACTCAGGGTGCCCATCTCTGGTGCCCTGTGCTTGTGCCCTGGCCTCCGACGGCAGCGCCTCCGAAGCCCAGGGCAGGGGGTGACAGGCCAGCAGGGCACGCCTCCCCGACGCCCCTTCTCTGTTCCCGCAGGAAAGAATGATGGCTCTATCAGCGGGAAGCAGTACTTCAAGTGCAACCCTGGCTATGGGCTGCTGGTGCGGCCAGCCCGGGTGCGCAGGGCCCAGGGCGCCGGGCGCAGGCGCAGCGCTGGGCTCCGGGCGCAGGGTGCCCCCGAGGCCCGCCGGAGAGCCACACTGTCGGGCTCTGCTACCAACCTGGCCTCACTGACAGCCGCCCTGGCCAAGGCTGACAGGAGCCACAAGATCGCGGAGAACCGGAAGTCCTGGGCCAGCTGAGCGCGGGTGCCTGGTGGGCACTGAAGGGGACCTCCCCAAGCAGGGCCGTGAATGCTTTTTGCACGATGCAGGGCTGGTGACTTCCCAGTTCCCAGCTCCCTGGGACCCCAGAAGCTTCGCTTCTTCCTTTCCTTGGGGGTGGAGGTTCTGGAAGCCCGGGGCGCTGTGGGGTGGTGGCTGAGGCCCTGAGCCACACAGCCAGGGCTGGGGGTGTCCCTGCTGGGTTCTGTGGTGCCCACCTGTTTTCTACTCTGTCACCCCACTAATGTCTTAATTTAAACCCTGGCCCTAATAGTCCATGCTGTGCCCAGCAAGGGTTCTGCCCTCCACCCCAAGTGCCAGCTCCCTTAAGTGCCTCGTCTTTGTGGGTGTCCTGGCACCCTTAAACCTGGTTACCATTTATTGCCTAACAGGATGCTTGGAATGTATTTATTTATATTTATTTTTCCAAGTTGACCTCCCTCGTGTCCTCCCAGGCCTCTGCCTTCCGTCCTTGGCTGCCGGCCTCCTGCCTGGTATGTGGGTCCTGGAGGTGGCTGGGATGCAGCCCTCGTCGGTCCCTTTCTCGCAGACACCCAAGTGGCCTTACTGTGGGGAAAGCGGTCCGGGACAGGGTGGTCTGCCCTGCAGGGGTGACAGTGGGGCGGTGTCGCTGCCTCGTTGGGTGGAGCAGTGGTGCTGGGGCATCCTCAGGCCATGTTAACTTCTTGCTTCCTGAGCTCTGACTACGGCCTGGCAGGTGGCTGTGGAAGGACAGCAGCTCAGCGACGTCTCGGGACCCAGGCCCAGCCCTGGCTCCCCTGGTGTTCCCGTCGCCTCTGTGCCTGCGGTGCTGGCTGCGCTGGGAGGGAGCAGCACATGTGTGAGTCTGGGGGAGGGCAGTTTGGATGCGGAAGGGGACAGATCCTGGCCTAGGCCTGCTGGGCCACCACAGCCCCCAGCTCAGGAGGGAAGCTGGGCGCCCTCAGAGCCCGTTTCTAGTTCCTCCACTTCCACCCCGAACTTGCCCGAAAAGCTTTCGTGGCAGAATCCCTGGTTCTCGGGTCTGAAGCCAGTGGCAGGAAGTGGTGCCAGGCCCTGACTCTGGGTGGGACAGCCCCGCAGTGGTTCCTGGGAACACAGCCGCAGGTCCCCCACAGTGTGGCCCAGTGCCCAGCTGGTAGCCGAATCTACTTGGTGTCACTAATGCGTATGTGTTACTGTACCCTGGCAGAGCTCTGCAGACCACCTTTCAACCGAATAGGACCAGGGCTGGGGGGACCGGGTCTTCCTGTTTCCTTGGCAACATAGCCAGACACCAGGGCTCTGGGCCGGGGGACCTGCCGGGGAGGATCCTAGCACCATCCTGTGGGGACAGTGTGGCCCTGAGGGGAGCCCTAGCTGGAGGCAGCATCAGTTTAGCTTCCTGCCTGTCTTCAGCTGGCACTTGGGGGACAGCTGCCCGGTGTGTCACCAAATGAGTGCTGTCAGCTTCGTGGGGCTTTCTGCTTGCTCCACCCCATGCAGCACAGGCCTGGGTAGTTAGATTTTGTCATGCGCCACCTGTCCCTTGCGTATCGTCTGGCCCTGTGGTCTGGGAAGGAGTCAGCACCCCCCAGGACTCCCTGGAGGAAGGGCAGGCCCTGTGTGCTGTGCAGAGGGGATGTCGTGGAGGCGTGAGACCGTGGGGTGTCACTCACGTGCAGAGTCATGGGCTTGCCGGATCCAGGATCCGGCTGCCCAGGATGTGGTGTGAGTCACCAGGCGGAGCGGGGGATGCCGTGCTCTGTGGTCCATCAGGGTGACTTCCGGTGGAGCAGGAGCTGGAGGAGTGACTGCCCTGATGGCTGCTTGTAGTGGAGCTGGCAGGTGGCATGGGGTCTTGAGCTGCCTGGCTGTGCCCTGCTGGCATCGCAGTCTGATGGGCGCAGCGACCTCCTCTGCTCCTCCAGACCTGGGCCCGGCCCCCGCCGAGCCCTTGTCCTGCTGCCCCAGGCAGATGGCGTGGAACCACTGGCCACCTGTTTTGCTCTCCTGGGCTGGGTGCAGCTCGCTCAGCACCCACATGTTCCTGGGCAGCTTCTCAGGAATCACGGTGCCTTCCTGGTGGCTGCAGACCCTGATGGTGTTGGGAGTCTGGGCACAGCTTCTTTATGTGCAGATTTTGTAAACAGCATGAGTTCACATGAAAGAAGTGGCTTTGATTCGGGAATTATAGTGATTTGGTACACTTAGGTGGGAGGTAAAAAATCCAAAGACTGCAATGAATTGTAAAGATGTCAGTGGTTTGCATTGTACAATGAACTAAACCTCTGTAATTTTGTACCATATACGCCTTTCCAGCAAAGGACCAGCAGCTTCTAAATAAAACCAGATGATTTCTCGCCTCTGAGCTCTGGCTCGTTACTTCTCCTGTCCCTGACCCGGATTCAGTTCGGTCTCCCTGAAGACCGTTCTGATCATGGCCTTGTTCTCGGACATGGCTATGGGCTCTTCCAGATGGAGACTGGGAAAAGGAAGTTGGGGACAGTGGCCCTTGGCCCCCACGGGCACCTTGGCCGCTCTGCAGCTCCTGCGCAGATGAGCCTCTTACAGAAGCCAAGAACCACAGGGACGTTCGGAGGTCTGAGCCACCGTAATGGGAGCGTGGGGGGCCTTTCCCCAGCTCTCCGGCAGGGCTCGCTGTCCCTAGGCCTGCATGACAGACACCGTTCTGCACCAGACCGGGGGCCAGAGCGCCTCTTCTGCTGTGTGGAGGTAAGGAGACCGCAGGTTCTGGGACAAGGTGTTTCGGGATGGGGACCAGGGTTGTGGCAGTGGCATGCTGGCAGTGCCCAGGCCAGGTCCCAGGGGACAGCGGGACCTGCTGTAAGTCTCGGTGGCCCTGTATGGTGGGGAGGCCACCTCCTGCAGACATGGTCCAGCTGTGTGCCCCGCAGGGACGGGAAGGCACGGAGGGTGGCGGATATGGCCTCTGGGCTGGGAAGGCCGCAGTGTCCTGCCATCTCCCTCAGACCCCAGGCCACGGGCCAGGGCCAGTCAGGGATTCACTGTGGCCTCGTGAAAAGGGCCTCTCTGGTCTCGTTCTTCTCCCTGGTTGTGTCACCCAGTCCTTGTCTCGTAAGGTAGGGCCGGCTGTCAGCCACAGCGCGTCCCGGCAGGACTTGTTTATATTCAGGAGTGCAGAAAAGTTCTGAGCTCGGCACTGCCGAACAGGAACAGGGACAGGACACGGCAGCCAGGAGCAGCTCTGCTGGGCACGAGGCAGGAGTCTGAATGCAGGTGACCTAGCTCCAAGGAGAAATCTTGTGCTCCAGTTCATAGCTTTCTTTAACCCCATGGGATATCTCTTGCCTGCATCAGGCTCTGGGGCTTCTACAGTTGCTTAGCCCCAAAATGGCCCTGGTGGATGTGACATCAGGTCACTCGTTCGTGTGCTGTGGGGGCTCCTGCACCTGTCCTGGCCTCACCAGGTGGTCCGTCCTGGTGACATGTGTGGAGGACCGATGGCCGTGGCTAAAGGTCAGAGCTCCTGCTCATGCAGATAGCAGTGTGGGGCCAAAGCATCAGGCGTGGGGTGGGGACCACGCTGTTAGGAGCTCTGCCCCCAATGTGGCCCTGCCCTTGCTGCTTCCACTTGGCAGCCGTTTTGTAGTCTTTTTCTGTGTGCCCACACTGAGGGCAAGGAGAGACCCTTTACGTCCCCGGGCTCCCAGGGAGGGGAAGCCATTGGGCTCCAGGGCTGTTGATGCGCAGGGACAGCTGAGAGAACAGAGCTCAGGGAGCTGGAAGCCTTTAAGGCAAAGTGGGACTCAGCCTGGGTTTTCCTGTCCTCACTGCTCTAGGTGAAGCCCCACGAGGGCTCCTTTAAGATGAGGCCCAGGGTGTGGCCCGGGAAGGGAATGGGAGTCCAGGAAGGCTGAATTGGGGCTGGGGAGGAGCGCAGGCAGGACGACCCTGCGCACCTCCCACAGGCGGGGCCTGGTGGCCGCCCCTTTCCGCAGGACTCTGGGCCCCACCCGCTGAAAAGCTGTGCCGGGCCCTTCGCAAGTGCAAGTGCGCGTTGGGACCCAAAGAAATCCCAGGCAGCCTCGGTTCAGTTATACATTTTATTCTCTAATAGGTACAATACTAAAATAAACACAAATTAAAAAAAAGTTTTATTAAAACAAAACTGTACAAAAAAGCAGTATACTACATTTTAATTACAGAACAGTCTACTGTCCAAAAGGCACTAATCCAGAATAGGAGATACAATGATACAGGACTCATCGGAACTATTTTAATCAATACATAGAGCACTTGTTTCTCTGATTGATCACTGCCACCCAGAAACAAGGGCTTCCTGCTACGGTCGTCACACACTGTGGAATCCGAGTCCTACGGCTGAAGCTGCAGTATCGCTCTCGCTCTCGCTAGGGCAGCTTCCGTGAGGTGGGCCGGCCCGGCTCGGAGCCACCGACCCCCCCCCCCCCCCGAGTCTAGCACCGGCAGAGTGGGGTCGGAGGTGCTCGGGACCAGGCTGGGGTCTGGCCAAGGAGCAGCAGCAGGAGGCACGGGGCCACCCGATGGAGAAAGGCAGCAAGGACTCAGAGTGGGAGCTGGGCGCCGGGCCGGGTGGGGCCACTGCTGGTCCCAGGGGAGGGGCACCGCCCTGTTGTTTGGGGACAGCCCATGTCCCTCCATCACGGACCCAGGGAGAGTCTGTGCTGGAGGGAGCCAGGGTCCGTCTCTGGGGATGCCGATACCACAGGTGGTCTGCATCCCAGAGGGGGCGGAAGCCACGTCCCTCCCTTGGTGCCACCTCAGGACACACGTGGATCTGCTTCTGCCACAGGCACTGTGCCCACTGCCCGCTCCGGCCGAGTGGCTAAGACAAGGCCCTAAGGCCCAGACTCGGTTCTCTCTGGACTCTGGCCCGAGGAAGAGAGATACTGCAGCTTTCCAAACAGTGTCATACACAGAAGACGAAGACAGGCATCTGATGTTAACAAAAATAAGTAACAAAGAAATAGGATCAAATCAAATCTCTTCTCACAGCATCCTATACTACATCCTCCTTCTGCTTAGCAGAAAATTGTACGTACACAAAAATACAAATACACAATTTTGTAGAACAGTCTGATTTTAATATATTTATATATATTTATATTTATACGAGTGGCAGGTTCATTATATAGAGCTTTTTGCACTTTTGGCTCATATGCAACAAGGCTTATAAATTCAGCTTTAGCTTTCATTCAGGTTTTATAGCTTTTGAACAATTGTTTTCACATTTAAAGCAGCATCCAATTTGCACTAGGAGTTTGTGGTGAATACAGGAGACATGGGGCGGGCGGGATACATTCCAGTGTGTGGCATGGAAGGAGGGTTCCTCGTGGACAGAGCTTACCATGGTGACCCTTGAGGTAGACTGAACACCCTACAACAGACTCAGACACAGGTGTGACGCCCTCAGGGACACATGGTGCACGATATGGGGACAGAGACCAGAGGAGACACCAGAGGGAAACACAGACAGGACAGGACAGGACAGCCAAGGCGGGGATCCACGGCCCCTCTTGGACACTCGGCTATTTGGCGGATGCTGAATGCTTCTTAGCCCATGCCCGGCCCCTGACACCAGACCAGCTGCACTTGACCGGGAGACGGGGACCCCGCTCAGCACTCTGCTCCGGCTGCAGTGTAGTCTTGGGAAGCGGGAGCAACCAGGCCCTCTCCTGCCTCCCTCAGCTGCCCACATCCTCCCGGCCCAGGGCCTGGGCTACATTCACTTTGCTCAGCTGCAGGGGGATAGAAGAGCCCTGGGCACTGCCCCACTCCCGCTCTGAGCACAGCAGCTCCGTCGGGCCACCATCATCCCACTTCCCTCTGGTCTCCAAGGCAGAACGCACTTGCCCACACATCACAAGCAAGTACCCAGTGTTTGGGTTACTCCATTGTCTGAACAAAAATGCTGGATTATTAATGAAAATAAAGTGCCTGGGTATGGATTGTTCCATTCTGCAAAACCTTTTAATGCACCCACAAATCATCGGCGTGCTGCTGGCCATGGGGTCTGAACAGCGCCGGCCGTCAGTCCTCTCCTGTGCTCATCACGTAACCAAGGCCCCGAGTCTAGGTCAGACTTACATTACTTTCACAAAGAAGCAAACAATCTCACACTCATCTACAGACGCAGCTGGATCCAGATGACACCTGGCGGTGGCCCTGTGAGCAGGGCCGGGCACTGTGCTGGAGGCACAGCTGGGAGTCACACTTGCCCTCTGGGTCTGGCTGCATCCCCACGGCTGACCGACAGGGTTTCTGCTTCGAGGCTGTCTATGGTGGCACTAAGATCTAGCTAACCAGACTCCTGGAAGTTGTCTAGAACCAAGACCATAACCACGTCAACAAAAGCAACAGGGGAACGGTGACGGAGCCGGCCTGACACGGCTACGAAGAGTTCTCCCACTCGCGTGCCCCACGGCGCTCCGCATGCAGAACGGCAGGGATGCTGGGGGTGGGGCAGGTGCCTACCCCGAGGGCGGTGGAGGTGGGAAGGGTGGGGCAGGGCACAGCTACCTGGCAGGATCCAGAGGTCTGCAACTTGCTTAGGCACTTGAACATAAACAAGAACTCATCCTGGAAAGGTTCTGCTCTCCACCTGACCACGTCGCGGGAGGGACGGAGGGCGGGCGAGCCCGGGTCGGAGAAGGCTGTGGGCTCTGCCGGGGAAGTGGCTGCCCCGGTCTCGGCATCTCCCAGCGGGGAGCCAGTCCTGCCTTGGCCAGGCTGGGCCCTGGAAGGTACGGACAGGGTGGAAGGAGGTGCAGGTGCCACCCACGCGCTGTTGCACGCTCAGCACAAGGAAATGACTGGGAGGGTTTGGGAAAACCAGGGAGTAAAGGAGAAGCCTCGCCAGCCCCACCACACCCCAAGAGCTTTGGTTTGTTCCCTTGGTGCCCATTTTTGGAGAGGCATGAGGAAGGTCACCGATTCCAATACAGGAGAGTGGTTCCTGGAGCCCACACCGAGCTCCTCTCCACCTGCTCTGCCCATGGGGCACTGATGCCCGGAGGCTGGAATGCCAGAGAGCTGGGGCAGCTGTTTACGTTAAGGGCATTCATGTTCTTTTGTTTTCCAGTTTAATCGCTTCAGTGAATGGTGAGGTGGAAAGTAACCCTCACAAGTTTATGCTGAGCTCCTACTTCCAGTAAAGCAAAAATGGGAGAGCTTTCTCTGCTCGAAGGAAGCCAAACACCAAACAGAAAGACAGCCTGGAAGTGCTGGGAAGACGACACCCTAAAGGGAGGCTGAGCCTTGAACTTAGTCCCGAGAACCGAGAACCGCCTCTGACAGGGAGCCGGCAGGCCGTGCCCTGCTCCAGGTCTGCCCGGTGGCTGAGGTGCAGGGCAGAGTCCAGACCAGATCAGCTCGGCGGGAAAGGCACAGTACACGCTCCCCTCCAGGCGAGGGTGCTGCGGGCCCTGTGAGGGCCGGGTCACAAAAACCTCACTAGCCGGCTGCGTCCCAACGCACCTGCCACCCTCAGCAGCCACCTGGGTGGGTCCCTCACCTGGACGCTCCAAAGCTGTGGCTTTGTTCCTTTCTTGTACTTCTTCAAGGACGCCTATCAAGGATGGAGGGGGAGACGGGGAGTGATCAACAGAACCAACTCCTGGAAAACCTTCTTTTTACAGTAAGAGAAAGAGCTAGAAAGGAGGGGTAGAATTTTCATAGGTCTTCAGGTCAGCTTGGAGTTTTTGGACCAAAATCTGTACTCGTGGCCATGCAGCTGCTCCTGGGGGCCAGTTAAGGCTCAGGATTAGGAGCAGAAGCAACCCTGGGAGGGCAGACACTGACACAGAACCAGGGCCTCAGCCCACAACAGCCTACCTGGCCATCATCACTGCTGTGGAGGGGACAGCGAGAGGAGGAGGGAGCAGCAGAACACTCAGAACACAAGCCGGGGGTCTAAGGCAATGGCAACTAAGCAAGCAACAGGAGCCGGGCCCTGCTTCTCCCTCGCTACCGGGGCTGCAAGCAAGGGGTACAGGTGAGATTGACCCCCTCCACCCTGGATGTATACTGCCACCTACAATTCTCCTGCATCCTGACACGGCTGGGAGTCTATGTCCCTATTCTGTCACCTTGCTCACCGAGCAGGAGGACTCAGGAAGGTCCCCAGAGGAAGCCAGGCTGTAGGGTCTTGGTCCCCTTCCAGCTCACCCAGGATTGTAATGCCAGCAGGGTGCCAGCGCACCAGGCTGGGCCAGGTGGTGCCTTCCATGGAGCAGCAGTGGACAGGCCACCTTCCACGAAGGTGAACGAGGCGCAGGAGGCTGCCTGGCCTGCTGCAGCTATGGTGGCACTGACCGGGAGGACTAGGGAGGCAGCACTGCCACCAGCACAGCACCCAGCCACGTACTTAAATGACATTTACAGCAGCTGCTGCTCCTGTGAGCTGTGACAGCTGGGGAGGGCTGCACGCTGGTCTCCTGCAACACTCTGATTTAGAACCCAGCAGCTTCTCCAGATAGTCATATAAAACTTGCTTCTGGTGTTTTCTCTTTGAAACTATATTTCATGGCGGCACATTCGATACTGTGAACTGAAATGGCAGACACGCTGGGACTCCGACCGCAACACAGACCCTGTGTCCTTTGGATGTGAGCAGACCACGGGAATGTCTGGTTTCTTCAGAGATCATCTCACAATTACTAAGTCGGCTCATCTGCTCTGCTCTCAGCCTCTAACCCAGACAGGTGGCCTTTAGGGGAGAGGCCCTGCGGGGATGGACACAGGATCTTTCCGTGAACTGGCCCAACTACTATTCCACTACAGGTATTTGGGGAGGAACAGAATGAAAAGAAGCCAAGGCCAGAAATACTCTCCTGATCTCCATGTCTCGAGGTGGAGGAGGTCACTTCTAAACAAGCAGCCTTCTCAGCAGATGGAATTGTAAGCAGCATTTCTGGCAGGCTAGGGTTCCTCCTGATGGGGAAGAGAAAGACCGGTACAAGGGGAAGCGGCAAAGTAAGAGTAAAAGCCAGAGCTGTACTGTCCTCAGTGGCTACTGAGCAGTCCTGAATGTCCAGGCCCGGAAGGGGCAGAGCTCTCAGACCACGGCTCGCCCAGTGTCTCTCCGGCTGGTAGGGGAAGGAAACAGGTGGGACGGCCACTCACTGCTGTTGGGTGCTGGCGTTCCTGCTGACACATGCAACAGGACGAAGGCTCCGGCGAGGGATGGGCAAACAGAGCAGAGGACCCCAGCCTGTTCTAGAGGAAGGCTAGCAAGTGACTAAGTACCCCCCACCCAAGGGCCACCCCAGGATGAGAGGAGGAGCAGGTGTGGCCAGGAGACCGCAGGATGTCAAAACCACAGGATGCCGGATGGCCCGGGTCTGTGCAAGGGTAGGGAGGACAGGGAGAGGCCAGCAGAGTGCCACGAGCACTAGGACAGCGCCTGCTAGGTCAGAGTGGTGTGAGAGAGGCCGGGCACTCACACGCGTCCTTTGCTTCAGTGACGATGGCAGAGTGCAGGCGCCAGCGCCAGTCATGCCCAGCTGAAGTTCACTGATCTGTCCTTGTCGGGCTGTCTGCTCTGCATCTTAAGAGCCAATGAGGAAAACGCTACGCAACTTCTGTAAACTTCCATTTGGTGAATGTGTTCGAAAGGTGACAGCAATGGAGATGTCAAGTGACCCAGGGGACCTGAGGACCCTAGGGGTGTGGGAAGCAGATGTGGCTGCGCCAGGCCAGCACGAGGAACAGAGGGGCAGGGCCTTGGTTGGGGCTGCCTGGTGTCTGCCCAAGGTGGAGCAGGCCAAACCGGTGTGAGAGAGGCCTCAAAGGACTCAGAAGTCACATGGAGAGCAATAATCAAAGGCTTCCCTTTTGGGGCTGAAATAACTCCAAATCCTTCTCTTGCGGGAGAACATGAATACAGTGTCATTATTTTAGTTTACCGAGTCGCCGTTCCAAATGTTCTTGGGAGCTCTGCTATTTTCAATCACATAAAGGACAGAAACCCTCTTAATTATGACCATGCCAATCTACATCCTGCTAAAACAGCTAATTACATGTCAGGAGGACACTCAGTCATTCAGAACAATTGCCATTATATTTTTATATATTCATTCTGTGCCACCCCCCTCAATTACCATGGTTACAATTTGAAAAGATTCAGCCAAACCTCCATTTGATCGCAGCACACCAATGTGAATTTGTGAGTTAATTATGGCTGTATGCAGCCAGTCTTATTTAAGAGAGAAAACGAAAATGGAATCAGGGGAGTTGGCCTCCCAGGAGCTCGGCGAGGAGCTGCACGTGCACACGCCACCTGCTGCCCGATGCCCAGCACGGCGCGGAGCGTGGAGACAGCCTGGACACGGCCAGAGGGGTGGATGGCAAGCAAGCAGGGACCTTGCGCGGGGAGGGGGGCGTCGGCAGAGGGCAGCATCAGAGCTCCCCACTCACAGGTCCTGGGATGTGCCCACTAAACTGTCAGCCGGCTTAAAAGTGCCAGGCAGGTTACACTTGAATGGAAACCTCTATTCAGTTCTACCCAGATGCCAAGAATGATAAGAAAGAAGTTAAGGGCGATGCACACTTGTGACCCCAAGGCATCTGTGCTGGCAAGATGAGAACCGGGTGCAGCCAAACCTCCTCACTGGCGTCTCTCCTGTATCCCTTTCTTTTCTGACGACAAAAGAAATCTAGTGCTACAGGAACCTGCATTTCTCAGGCTTACCTTTCTTTTTGCTATTTCTCATCCCCACCAAGAGTAATGAAGGCGATAGGAAACATCTCCATTTACAAACTTGCAGTGTTTGAAGGTGCGGACGTACAAACAAAGTTGCATTTCTGAGAGAGGACTCAGACCCAACAGGAGGTGCGGTCTGTGAGACGCAAGGGCAGGCACTTCTCGCTTGCGGTTCGTAAAGAAAGGGCACCCGAGCAGGCCTGCGGAGCTCAACCTGCTGGAGACAGACAGGAGTTTCTGTGGCCGGCAACCGACTGTGAGGCGCCCTTCCTGCTGCTTGTTGGGAGCGTGAGGGAACCCTCTGCAGTGACGGGCATCTGTGAAGCCAAGAGTGTAAGGAAGGCACCTGCACAAGAGAAGGCAGAGGGCCTGTGCGCCGAGGGCGGGCTGTCCGGGCGCCCGGATGAGCTGGTCCCGCAGAGCTGTTTCTGAGAAAGCCTCCTGCTCCCAGGAGGGGCACTGTCCTCACTCTGGACAACTCAGTGGTTCTGGGTAACGTGACCAGACGCTGGACATGGAGAGACAGCAGGAGGGTTTTGGGGCACGCAGCTCAGTTTGCCAAATTCAATATGGCTGACAACTGATCCCCAAATCCTGAGTACGCATCTTGCTATTAAAGAGCACACATGAAGGAACGCTGTATGAGTAACACACCCCTGCCCAGGGCACCCCCAGCCTGCACCCCTGAACCAGCAGCTGGCTCCTCAGTGTGCCCAACTCTCACTCGGGAAATCTTGACAAATCTGGCTCAGTAAAGCTATAAATGGATTTGGCTGGTCTCGATCCAGCCTCAAGGAACACAGTAGTGAAACATTACCGATAATCACAACAAAATGGCACAATCCATCACCACCCTAGCCTACGATTTCAATCACAGAGATTAGCACAGAAACCAATGCACACCATAGGAGATCAGGACTGTTCAATGTAGACAGAGTGCTACCGAGCACAAGATCCTCAACCACAAGAAAAATTATTGCCTACGAATCTGGTGAGACTCACAGGGAAAAATACTCCGGCTGCTCTCTGAACAAAAGATAAAAAGCATTTTTAAAAGGCAGAGCCACGAGTTAAATGGAAAGATCTTCTAACTAAATCCTTCTTAAACCAGAGAGAGAGGGCAAGGACTTGAAGTTCACATTCTTAGGACGGATGAGGGGCTGCTCAGGGGTACAGGTGCAGAGCCCGGCCTCTCGGGACAGCATGTTGTGTTCTCAGACTGCTGAAGAGGGCGCTACTGAGCAGCACCCTGGCTGCAGCCAGAAGGTAAAAAACTCCAGCAAAGTCAACTCAAAACAAGGACAATAGTGGAGCTCAGAGAAAACAAAGAGGAACTGTTGAGAGATGGAGAGGAAGTGACAGTAGATTCTTTACTGGGTCTATTATACTCGGTGCCTAATGTTGGGTGTCCAGGAGGCAAGTTTCTAACGAGTTCTTGAAGATGAAAGCCAAAGAGGGAGAGCCCAAACAACTGTATCAGTAAATTCTTACCCTTTGAGGTAAGAATCTACCCAGACATCGGGACTAAGACAGCTCCTCCTGTATCATAAATCTTGAACTGGAGTACCAACTTTGCATGTTAGTAAGAACAAGCTTCCTCCTCAACTCTCCACAGCTGGGGGAAGGCTCCTCAGTGGGGGCTCTCTGGCTCCCGGTCCCAGGTCCCCTTTTCCTGTGAAGGGGCACTTAAAGAACTGAGGTTGAGAGGAAATCTGCCCGATGGGTACTCCAACATGACCAGCTGCTGAAAGAAGCAGAACGTGTGTGGTACTCAATGGCACGAGAAGGTCTCAGCCCTGTGCACTGCTGTTTGCCCGCCTACTTCTGTGCCCTGTTGGTGCTGGCCACGTACAGGTGGAAGTCGCCTTAGATGGTCTGTCTCAAAGGGTACTGTGAGAGGGGCAGGTGGGAAGCTCACACATCTGACCAGTAATTCAGTCACAGTGAATTAAATAAAAATAACAGGTGGACTACATGAATAGACCCACACTTTAAAAAATCTTCCTTGACTAGAAAGGAACAAGGGGCCTGAAGAAGGACAAAGAAGCAAGAGCAGGTTCAGAGCCACCAAGCAGCATGGGATGTGACTTTGTAGAGTCTGGTTTTTCCCTTTGGCGATAGAGCATTTGAGGATTTCTATCTTAATAGCACACCTAAAACCTGAAAGGCTCAGGGAAAAGTAGAAACCAAATAGTGGGCGCTGGATTTGCCATTATAAGAATTAAGGTGGTCTGGACAAGAGAGAGCAGAACCGAACCTGGTGACAACAAAAAACTGAAGGAAGATTGACATCTTGACCCCAAAGACATTCATTCTCACGCCTAGTGAAAAAGCGAAAGAGCAGCTCACAGTCCTGGGTGGACACCCTCCCTGTCCCCTCCAGCTCGGCACACTGTGTTCTGCCCTGGCAGCATTGCTCCCCCGGTGTTGCCACTGCCAGCCCGGCCAGCACTGCCTGCACGGACGCCAGCTCCCCCTTATCCTCTAACGCTTTTCTCGTCCTCAGAGGTCTCAAAACAGAAAAACATTTCAGCTCTTCTGTGGCAATCACTAGACTTCTTTAGAAACTGCAGCTGTCTTAGCAGGTTGAGTCTGTTCCTTTAAAAAGACTAGCAAGAATAAATGATGCTAGGAATCCCATCCTAAAGAAGCTATCAATTATAATAATCTAATGACAATAAATCATGGATGTGGCTTGTCAGAGAATGTATTTTTTTCCTCTCTGTGTTCTTTCTGATTCAACTGAGAATAAGCAGACAAAATTCCACCAAAATGGAAAGATATATTAAAATCAGAGGAAAGAAAGATAACAGAATCTCACAACTGAAAAAGTACAATAAACAAAGAACATGAGCAGGAGTGTGTGGGAGGGGGCTCATTCCTGAGAATAACAAATGCTACTCTTGGGTTTGTCAGTTCAAGTAGTACAGTAACACAGAAGACGGCTCCATCTCGCTCCGACTCTTGGGAGTCGGGGAAATGCATACATTTCCCCCCTGAAACCCAGGGACGGGGCAGGACCAGGCCCTGCCATAATTCTTTTAAGTCACAGACACAGGAAGGTGGCATTCTCGTGCCCTTGGAAAGATGTCCTCATACTTCCACGAGCACAACATACGGCTAAGGGAATGATCACCAGTGTTGCCTTAAGTGCAGAGACCAGCTAAAAACTGGCAGATATTCAACATCCCAAAGAGAAAGGAAAAAGAAGGAAGGAAGGTCAGTATCTTTCAAATGAGGCTGAACACATCTGGTGAGGGTTCAGGGTGAGGCAGTGAGGGAACGGCACCTTCCTTCTACCTCAGAAACTGTTTCGGTCATGGACAGAAAGACAGAAACCTCATGGAGCAGTCCGCCTGGCCTCCCCTAAAACAAGGCTTCAGGAGACACAGAGGAGAGACGGAGCCAGGCAGAAAATGCGCGGCCATTGTGCCTCTCCCGCTGCACCCTACACTCTACACTGAAGGCTGTTTCTTTTGACCCACAGTGACAGTGCATCATTTAATCGGATGCCAAGAGACCATTTCGTACAAGGCCAGCAGATGTAATTTTCTTTGATGCATGAATAGTTCATCATTTTGCTACTAGATGACAAGGTGATCACAGGGTGACTTTATAACGCAAGTTCACTGTTTGGTATTTTGAGTTCTCAAAATGAAAAAAAGATTTATCAAATATAAATATCTTTAAAAAGTAACAAAAGTGCTACATACGTGATCAAGGAAAAAAATTCCATTAGTTACTGCCACTTAAAGTAGATTAAACTTTACAAATATTACCACATCCATTATCAATATGGCTTCCAATTATTAAATAAATTGCCTGTAGCAATATAGCTTTTCATACCTCTACAAGGACAGAGTAAAGAGAACAACAAAGCAGTCGCATCCTGTTGTATCTCGCACACCCACCGTGGAAGTGGTAAATGTCCCCTGATTTTTTCTGCTCCTATTTAAGCAAGTGTTTGCATCTGTGATAGTCAAGTCAGCAAAATCCCCTAAGCCCTCCATCGACTCAGACTGAGGGGCTTCTGCTAATGGATACAAAGACTGTGTTCTTCTACTCATTTCTGACCTTAGCTCCGTCCTTGAAAGACTTTTTTGGTAGCAGGGAAAGGGGACACCAGGACAACCTCCAAGACCTTTCCAGTCAGGCACTGATAGGCGTGCCACGGAATGTACAGTGGTTCTGAGGGCTGGACTGAGCATCCATCAGACACTCAGCTCATACTTTTTTCCAATGCTCTCAAGCTGGGTTTTTTTTTTCATAACTTTTGTTTTTCTGTCTTGAATCATGGTCCCAAAGGCAGAAGGCAGTATTTTACCTACTAGGTCACACAGCTATTGAGAGGAAAGGATGCCTGTGGCAGGCATGCTAACACCAACCAAATCTGAGCTCAGGTTTTCCATGGACAGTCTTAGCACAGCACCCGAAGAAGTGTAACCTAGCCACAGAGTGACTGTAGGAGGCACGGCTTATTGCAGCTGAATCAGCGATTCTCACGCTGAGGTGGGGCTCCAGTGTCCCTTTCGCTCTGGAGATTCCCCAAGTGGTGTCTGTCAGCCCTGTGCCACCACCTCAGCTTGCATCCTATCAGTCTGGGGAAGGGAAAGGTACAGACTCGTGTTACATGTATCTAAAGGGACCCAAGATTTTACACACAGCCTAATACTGGAGAACTGAGGGCTATCTAAATACCTGGAAGCACTTTCTTGGAATGCTAAGACGGAGCAGCAAGATTTTCTAGCCTCAGGGGCTGGGAGGGGTAAGTTTGGTTGGTTGGTTATTATTTACTGGGAATTAATACTGAGAGAGTATATGCAAAGGCTGAGGGCACCATGCCATCTTCACAGAACAAGACCCTAACGGCTACCTGACATACAAGAAACTGCAAGTTATACTGTAAGAACACATGTTAAGGACCGAGGAAAGTCTGCTAAGGTGCTACGTCTAAACTAAGTTAACTTGTGTCTAACCCTCCCTGATCAGTCATCATCCAGGGCCTCTGTCTTGATTTCGTTGGTTCCTTGTCGGGCCAAGGCCAAGATAGTATGGTTGACTGCTGCCATCTCCACAGCTAGCGAGATGGGGTCTTGGTGGTCACTATGGCTCATGCTGTCATCCTAGATGTGCAGAAAGAAGAAACCACTGTTATCAGTGGACTGTACAATCCTCTAGCTCAGAGAGAGGCATGCAGGGCTTCAGGGAGGCAGAACACGCGCAGAGGAAATGATGAGCACCTCATGGCAGAGCGGAGGTGAACTGTATTTAAGTAGACACTGAATGGATATCAGTTCAGAGGCTCCTGGTTGACATTTTCTATGACTTAAGTAAAAAGAACGAGAAGTATTTTTTCTCACCGAGAATTTTATTCATTCTATCAAAAAAAATTGCTTGTGGTGATCAAACCTGGACTGACTGATAAAAAACCAACAATTTGGATCTTCTGTTGCAACAAACGTAGCACGAATCATTGCAGACCATACTAGTAAACCATTCAACTGTGGATTTGTACTTATAAATAGGTTATTAGGATCTATCATAGTTCTCTACTGAACTAAGAAAGCAAGAGAAAACTACAGGCAGCAACATCTTACAGAGAAGGAAAAATCCAGGAATTCTCAGTTATGGAAGAAAAGTGCTGCTGCCTAAAACGGCTGTGGGGGAGGTAAGGCGTGGTGCTCCTGCCGGCTGCTGTGAGAGGGGTGTGCAGGAGCCTGACTTAGAGCCAAGCCTCTCCTCCCTCAAGGCAAATTTGTGAAACAATAAAGCTCTGAGGAAAGCTGGCATTTTAGGATGCGAGTCAGGCACTGGAAGATGGTGTCACTTACAAGGGGTGTGTTTCTCACCTGTCACATCTTCAGGGGAACTGTGTGTCAGAGAATTTTAGAAGGGAAAGTCCCTTGGGGGTAAGCATGGGATGTGCTGCCCTCAGGGCATCCGCAAAAAAAAGATGGAAATGACCCATCTATATTGACTGATTAAAAACTAACAGGAATGTTTCCAGCTAGAAAGACCGAACATTCTCTGAGTAAAAAGTAGGGCTATGATTTGAAGCCCAAAGGGAGAAAAAAGTTAACCTTTGGGACATGGGAGCTGTTCCATTTCGATTTTCACAGAACAGTCTTTAGGATTTAAAAGAGGATTTGCATGGAACCCACTCACTCACTGAAAGTCTGGGCAGAAGCTGATAAACGGGCTGTCAAACAGCGGGGAGGCGGAAGAACACAGTTGCCCACATTTGTGAACTACCTGGCGGAGGGGCCTGGAAAATGACCACCGGGAAGAGCAGAAGCTTTTGGGCTGGAGTCTGAGGAAGGGACTTCAGGCTGTCTGTGCTTTCCAAATGGAAATAAAACTTAGATTTATACAAATTGTAACGAAATCTGTCAAACACATGAGTAGGGGTAAAGCTCTCACAGTCAGTTACTGAATTACTCCATGCAGTGACTACAGTTAAATACATTTTTCCCCAAGCAGTGCAGAATAGGACAGGCAAATGAATAGGCATGCGGGTGTGGAGTGCATGAGGATGCGAGTGTCAACGTGCCAGATGGGAGGAACCACTCTGGGCACAGGGTTCTCACTGCAATGGGGCCGGAGTGGTGGGCCTTCCATTGTGCCCTGCTCCAGTACATGTTTAGGCCGGGGTCACAGCTGCCCAGCTGCCCCTAGTTCTTTTCAAACACTGAGTGTGTGTGGTGAATGGTGTAACTTGCTTGTTTGGATCAGATCCTCCTCTCTTCTTCTACCTTCTCTGCTTCTCTGCCTCCCTCTGAACTTCTTCCCTCCTCCTCCTCCCCATTGCGTACTTGCCAAGTATCCTGTTGTATGACAACAAATCCATGTGGGTGAGTAGCAATTTCTCAAATTCAACAGGACAACTGAATCTTACCACATTCCTTTCAAATTACATGACAATCTAACTAGACACATGAGCAGAGTGGAGGGACACCGACTCTCCCCCACCCCCGCCCCGCAGCCCACACCCCCATCTTCACGGCCTGTCGCCTGCCCCACTGCTCAGCACCAGGAACCTTGGCCTGCAGCCTGGCTGCTCACCTGCTCCGAGTAGTCGTTCCCATCGACATCATCACTGTTGGAATGGCCGCCTGGACTCTGTACGTCTATCCCATGGCTCTCCAGGATTGCTGCTTCTTCGACAAAAGCAAATAGATCCCTAAATTATCTGTGCCTTATCATAATGGCCACAGCACAGTTTCTATGTTGCGGGAATTAGAACGTAATTAAGGAAGAAACTATAGTCCTCGACACTGTGACATCTTGGTTCTCTTAGACCGAAGACGGATGAAATTCCGATGCATGCAGCCCAGGGAGACACATGCTCCCCATTCTGGGCTCTTTGCTGCTCCACACCCTAACTGTCCGCCTTAACTGTGAGCTAGTTCATAAAATTTGCTAACTAATTAAACAGCTCTCCTGTCTTGGTGTTCTATGAAGCATTTGAGAATGGGAGTGATGAACAGGAAGTATATTTATTAATGAAATGCAAATTCAGAAGCTTAAAACCAATTCCCTACCCCGATGTCATCAATTCAAAATTTTTATTTTTTTTATTATGTCTTTATTGTGTTTTTGTGTCCTAAATTGGAAGGCTTTATTTCCTCCAGTTCTCCTTAGACCGCTTCAGTAATTTCTCCCTTTTTCCAGCTTTATTAAGGTATACATTACAAATAAAATTGTATATATTTTAGCTGAGGATGATGGCACGTGCCTCTAATCCCAGCACTCTAAGGAGGCTAAGACAGGAGGATTGCCAGTTTCAGCCCAGCTGGGGCAACTTAGCAAGACCCTGTCTCAATCAATCAACCAATCAATGAAAATAAAATAAAAATAATAGCTCAGTGAGAAGGCCCTAGGTTCAATCCCTAGTTCTGTGGGGATGGGTATATATATGGTGTATGAGACATTTGGAGGTATCTATACATTGTGAAATCTACAATTCAAATGTCTTAAATGTTCTTTTTTTCTTTTTGCAGTGCTGGGGATCAAACCCAGGGCCTCACACATGCAAGGCAAACACTTTACTACTGAGCTGCACTCCTTGCTCTTAATGCTCTATACCATTGCCTTTTGCTTTGTTCCTGGTCTATGAAGTCTCTTTCATTCCAATTCGATTAATCAGGTGTTTCCTGATATATAAGCCAGAGCCTACTAATAACAAACAAGCTTAGACCATATCACACTTCCTTTCTAAGGCCCTACAAGAATCTTTAATCTGCACCAGGGTAATCAACTGCTCAGGGTCTATTTAATTCTATATTCTAGAACATTAAGAACAATAAGTGTTATAAGTAACAATGTCATTATTATTACAATACAAATAATGTAAATTATACTAACTTTGGATTATTAAAAAATGAAAAAAGTAAAAGTGATTCTTGTTAGGTTTAAAAATTAGGAAATTTAAACCCACAGCTCCTAAACTGAAGTTACTCCTAAAATAAACATGATGTCTGCAACCTTCTCCCAAGCGAAAGCAGCCACTCTGATACATTACCGATATTGGCTCTCCTCTTGATCTCCTTCCGTCTATTAGCAAACCAATTATATACTTTCAGGGAGGTAACTCGTTCCAGATCAGACAGTTTTTTGCCTGTAAATGCATGCAATAAAATTCAGGTGATCTATATCTGGGACTCAAGAATAACTAGTTTTAAGAAATAACATTTTTCTTTCTTTAAAAGTTGCTTTTGATTCCATTTACTGATGAAACAACAGATGCAGGGGGAATTTTTTAAAGCATTATCTACTACTATGTACACACTCACATAAATGAAGACCCAAATAGCAACCAATAACATACTTCAATTCAGAAAGCCACACACAACATTAAAGAATTTCACGGTCGGTTTAGTAAGGTGCCTGATCAAAGTTCCATGACAGTGCCAGGGAGGCTTCATTCATTAGCATCATTCTAGACATACAGACTATTCTTTTTAATGCCTTGTACTAACTAGTTTCCTGCCGTCTTAAGACAGAGGCCAGGAGACAGGTTTCCTGGGAGGCCACAGGCTCTGTGGCCATCCTTATTCTGACTATGCTGTAATACAACGTACCACACTGGCTGCATTAGGTTTCTGTCCTCATGGATGTCAGAGGTGATTTCTTTTTTTTTTTGGTACCAGGGATTGAACTCGGGTCCTTGCAATTGCGCAGCAGGCAGCAAAACCACTGAGCTAAATCCCCAGCCCAAAAATTCTGTCTTTTCATTTTTGTTTTTTTTTTTTTTGGTACCGGGGATTGAACTTGGGTCCTTGCACTTGCGCAGCAGGCAGCAAAACCACTAAGCTAAATCCCCAGCCCTCAGAGGTGATTTCTTATGGACAGCAACATGCTTGCCAGTAAGGACCCCCTGTAGCATTCCCTCCTCTCCTGTCTTTCTCTGTTTATCAGCTTTTAATCCACAGTGGGTAGAGAAACCACAAAACAGATTTGTTAGGCTCTCAGTAATATAGGGGTAAAGAGATTTCCAGGGAGACATTTTTGGCTTGTGTGATGCAGGGTACAGATTCTTTTCACATAGGTGTGGGTGGAGCTGGGATTGTAGGGTCCACATTGCCAGAAAGTCTGTCTTCTGGATAAGGGAGAATACATTTCTGCTTCATTGTTATAGAACACTGATACTTCTGCAGATAGTCTCTCAGTTATTCAAAATAACTGGCCAAATAGAAATCAACTGATTCATCTTAACTGAGAATGATTTTCTGGTAACAATCTGTAAAACGTGAACTAATATTCAGATACACCAAATAAAATACACATGAACTACATACGTACCTGTGCTGACTTGCACAGGAACATCAGAACTTCAGGATGGTATTATCGTACCTGTTTCTCCTACCTAAGCAGAAGTTATCCCAATGTGGAGAGGACACAGAAGCCAAGTCCAAAAAGAATTCTTTCCCCCAAAAGGAATATAGAATCATACAATTTATAGCAATTGTAAAAAAAAAAATCTATTTTAATCTTTTTATCAACACAATTTGCTTAAATATCTCAAACTTTAAAATTATTTTGGAACTCATATTTATGATAAATTTTTAGAAAAAAATCCATTAAAAAAAAGCACAATGTTAAGGCCTCGAATGTTATGCAGAAACTCTTAGGAAACCTTCTGGTTGTAAGTGCACAGGAGTATGTCTCAGAAACACTGTGTGGACAGGACAGCCGATGCGGGACGCGGGGAGATTTCCTGTCCTGAGTGCAGAAATGCAACTGAGCAGCAGCACAGCGAAGTGTGAGTCTCCTTACCTGGCTTCTGTATAACTGCATTGCAAGCATTTGCAATTTCTTCTCGCTTTGCTTCATCTGGGTACTGATTCTCATTGAAGTAACTGCAGAGGCAACCAATACAGACAAACTTTTCACCTTTTTAATGTGCGCTCATTAAGACACCAACTCTCTGAAAAATGAGTTCTTTGAGATGTAACATCTGAATGCCCAGTCCAGGCTGTCCAATTAATTTTCTGTAGGATAAAAGCGGTCTCTTCTGCGCTGTTCAGTAAAGTAGCCACGACTCACGCAGGCCACTGAGCATGTGAAATAAGAAGCAGACTTAAATTTATTTAATTTTTACTAATTTAAATTTTAATAGCTACATGTGATTCGCGGCTATTATTCACACTGCTGAGCTTCATTAAAAGATGATATAAAATTATTTTTGGCTCGCATGAGTGGTTAAAATCAGAGTCATGTCACTGAGGCACCAGTAACAGGACTTTTCTGATCACATTGTTCGTAGTAGCAAAGATTGGAAATTACCCAATTGCCCAATAATAGGAGAATGGCAGAACAAATTATGGGACATCTATATTCATACACAGCTATTTAAAAATGACTAGGGGAAAAAGCAAGTTAGAGCTCTGTCCACGGACTTGGAGGGATGTTTAGGACATATTCCTAAGTGAGAAAACCATATGTGGAATAATACACATGTAAAAATACTACTGTAGAAATTTAAAATTCCTGTCTATATGAATAGCAGTTTATATGGCTAATAGTTGGAAGAGTACATATCAGGTGAAAATACTGATTACTTGTTGTGGGAGAAGGGACTCAATGGGAGGATATTTAAACATTTTATTTTTCATGTTTAAAAAGTAGATATTACTTTTGTTCAATCATATTTTTAAAAATTAGGTTTGCTGAATTTGCTGAACCTTTCCTTAGAATTATAGGCTCAGAATTATGAGAACTAGTAAGGATGTTTATTACTAGTGCTACTTTTTCTGTTATTTATGAGGTTAGAAAAAGAAAAAGAGCCGGGTATGGTGGCACACACTGCTCAGGGGGCTGAGGCAGGAGGATCACCAAGAGTTCAAGGGCAGTCTGGGCTACAACATGAGTTCAAGGCCAGACTGAACTGCACAGTGAGCCCTGTCACCAAAAAAAAAGGAAAAGAAAAGAAATTTCATGCCTTCAGCCCAGGAATTTAGGATTAGAAATTCTAACTCTCGCCACTCTCTCAGGGAGTCCCTGTCCTGTGAGCAGTCTTTCCTGTTCTCTCCCTACCCCTGCACTGCAGATCCATCCCCACCCAGCAGCCCCTCAACCTGATCCCGCTGCCACTCCCCGAGCCAGTCCTCTCACAGCGGCTCCCTCCTCCGTCCCACCTTGCCATTTCTGAAACAGAAGCCATGTAACTATGTCCAGCAGTCTTGTCAACACAGCCCTCCATTTCTAGCTGTCTTCAACGGTTTAATTAAGTGTCTCTTCCTACATGATTTTCTGCTGTCATTTTAGCGCTCCTGGGTTCACACCGAGGATCTTTCCAAGTCACTCTCCTCATGACCATTAGTGTGGGCATCACCAATGCTTATTAGGAAGTCAGGACCTCGGACCCCACCTCAGACTTAATCAGAGTCTTTGTCAGATTTTATCAAGAGAGCCAGGTGACCTGAACACACAGAGATCTACCATCTGAGATCTACCACTTACTTCATTCACTCTAAATTCAGCAAGTAGGGTTAGGGTTAGGGTTGGCACTGTGGGGAAAGAAAAGAAAGAATTCCTTTCTGACTTCAAGGAGTTCACAAGCTCATGGGGAGAGTAAAAGGGCCTGTGGACAGACACATGGTATGCCTGGGCCGGAGCTGGGAGGACCACAGAGGAGTGCATTGGAGCCTGGGTGGGCATGAGGTGGCAAGGCAGAAAAGAGGAAGTAAGAGCATTTTGTATAAAAGGGAACAGCACGTGCAAAGGCAAGATGGTAGACCATAGCCTGGAGTACTCTAGGCACTAAGAAGAGCCCAGTTGTGGTGCATATCCATAATCCTAACACTCGGAAGCTGAGGCAGGAGGATTACAAATTCAAGCCCAGCCTAGGCAATTTAGCAAGACCCTGTCTCAAAATAGAAAAATAAAAAGTGTTGGAGACATAGCTCACTGCAAAGGCCGTGGTTCAATTCCCAGTACTGCAAACAAAGCAAAACAAAACAAAATCACAAAACTGACCAAAAAAACCACAGGCATCATACAATCACATGAGAAAATGAGCTATTAGCTTGGAAGGGTGATATGGGCCAGTTTGTAATGAGCCTTGTCTGTCCTCTAAAAAGAAAAGATTTCATCATGAAAGAAATGAGAACCCTGAGAGGTTTTCAAGTCACACAGACACACTCTTATGTGTGTTTTAGAAAAACACTTCTTCAGCCAATGTAGCTCAGGGGCACCACACCTGCCTGGCAAGCACAAGGTCCTGAGTTCAATTCCTGGTACCGGAGAACAAAACAAAACAAAACACCTCTTCAAGACACTGCTCAGAATTCTGCCTCCCTCCGTGACCCTAGGTTCTGAAATTCCCCAATCATCTTTCTACTTACCTACTCTTCTTTGAAAGAACTTTTTGCCGTCTTTATAATCTCTAACCACCAATCTCTCCACCACTCCCTCCCAATTAAGAAAACCCTGCATTCGTCTATCATTCCTCTTCTGGCCTCACCTCTCATTTCTTCCCTGAACTCCATGGCAGACCAAATCAACAGCATCCCCCAGGAGAAACTAGACTGCTGACCTTTTCAGTCCTTCCCCCAGGCCTGTCCAGCCAATCTCGTATCCTGCAGAAAGCACCTTCCATTTTCCTTCTGTCCTTCTCTCAGGGTACCAAGTGAGCCTGGATAAGGTCCCAAGATAGGGTCAACTGTTTTCTTTATAAATCCTTGCTTTTTAATCTGGGCCCCTCACTTCTAGGAATTCTTTCATGTCCCAATCACCTAGAAGCATTTCACTCTTAAGTCTCAAGCCCTCAAATCCACCACTGTCATCTTTTTTGCAGATGACCTTGCCCTCTCTTTTATCAAGAGAGGGGGCCAGGGATTTAGCTCAGTGGTTCCGGGCAAGGTCCCATGTTCGATCCCTGGTACCAAAATCAAAACAAACAAGAGAGAGGTTACTTTATATCAGTTTACTGAATTTTTTTTAGCTTCTCAACCTCTCCAATCCATTATTTATTTGGCTCAAATCAGAGGAAAATGAATACCTTGGTCTTCTCAGGGTCAACTTCTCCACCTTTGTCTTTGATCTCATCCCCCCTTCCTTTCCTTTTCTTCTCCATTCTTTTTTTTGGTACCGGGGATCGAACTCAGGACCTTGCGCTTTCGAGGCAGGCAGCAGAACCACTGAGCTAAATCCCCAGCTTCTTCTCCATTCTTTCTGGCATAAACCACCGTTCTTAGTGCCTGTACAAGGACCCCATTTCACTGATTTTATGATGCACACTTCTTCCTTATTGTGATCTCTGAAGTCAGGATACATTTCATAACTGGTGGTCTGTTAAAATTGTCAGTTTGTCCTCCCTTACTGTCATGGAAAATAAGGTGTCTTACAATCAAGTTCTTCTTACATGTATGGAACATGGTAGCTGCTACAGTCTAAGGTCCCCCTGAAACAACAGCCTCATGGCCAGTGCACCTCACCATGATAACTTTCCATGCAAATAACTGCAAGGACTGTGACTGACACTCTAGTCTTCCAATGTCTCGTTAATATCCCTAATGCACACCTCCTGTTCAAAAAGTTCCCAAGGGTTATTGTAGAGATATTCAGAGTCCTCCCACACATTACCTTTGCATCTTTATCTGCTGCTGCTCCCATATATGCACACTACAGTCCAGGAAAATGAGATAACCTTGTAAACTCTTTGTTATCTCTATGCCTTTGTACTGCCCACACATATGCTTTTTTATCTTCCCCCAACACATATCTTATCTGTCTTTCAGGGTGTAGCTCAAATATTACTTTTGGCCTGTCAAATGTGTTTTCTCTACACTATGAATCCCACAATATCTCCTCTGTTCTCTCACACGTCTTTCCTCTCAGTTCTTCCTTTAGACACCTCTCCACTATTACACAGAAGGGCGTCCTAGGCCGGGTGCGAGTCCGACTCAACCTCATCCACGCTCCTCCTTTTTAGTGCTGACCAAGCAATAATAATGAACAAAGTCACCACCGGCCCAGCAGGGGGCCCTCCGAAAGAAATGGGTACAATGACACATGGACGATGACAAGCAGGGTGAAGGCACTCCCACACAGGTCTTGAAACATACATGTGTTAGAAATGACTGTCTCTGGGAGCAAGAATGTCAGGTAAAGGCAGGAAACAAACACTGGTGGCATTAAGACTGTCAGGCTGCTTTATATACTTCTCTGTTGGACTGCTGAAATAAACACATGCCATTTTTATAAATTTCTATGTAATAAAAACTCTGAGGAAATAGTGAAATAACTAAGAATTAGTTTAGTGATCAGCAATTCTGTAAATAGTTGAACTGTTTCAAAAGTGTACTGGGATCAGGTAGAAAATATTAGGATTGTGACTGGCCTTCTAGTGAGTAACAGAATAAAGATTTTTGAAAGCTAGATTATAATTTAGAATTATTCACAGTATACATAATGTTCTGTACTAGTTTAAAAGTTTTGAAATTCTTTTTTTTGGTACCGGGGATTGGATTCGGGTCCTTGCACTTGCATAGCAGGAGGCAAAACCACTGAGCTAAATCCCCGGCCCTTGAAATTCATTTTTAATCTGTATTTCTTTTTTTTTTTTTGGTACCGGGGATCAAACTTGGGTCCTTGTGCTTGCGAGGCAGGCACCGGAACCACTGAGCTAAATCCCCGGCCCTAATCTGTATTTCTTATAATCTAACAAAATAAAACAGAAGATCACAGGGAAAAATCAGTAACTTTTTTTCAAATCAAAAGTTCAAGAAAATAATTTATTCATATTGTTTTAAATTTATTAAGCCTAGTTAAAAAATTCTTTTTTTCTCTGTTAAAGACCATTTATTTATTTACTTATTTATTTATCCATCTATCCATCTACTTTTGCAGTACTGGA